CTGTGATCTTATTGCATAATTTATTATATATAATTTATTAGATATAATATATATATATATAATATATATATATATATTTTTATATAATATATATATATAATATATATATATATATATATATATATATATATTATGTTTATCAACACGTGTGTTTATTTCTTTTTTAGTATCCTGAAGATGTCTGAGAGGTACTGAAATATCCAAATCCTTTTAATAAATAGGCACGTGGAGTAATATTTTCTCCACACATGAGCACAGGTGTACACACGTGAGTGACAAATGACATGTGTTACAGGAGGTTGTGAGGGAGAACCACGTCCCTGTGTCCCTGAGTGTTCTGTGAGAGGGTCACTGTGTTCTGCTGTGGGGACCTGTGTATGTCGTCCAGGGTTGCGTCCTCTCTACTCTGAGAAACAGAGATTTCGTCTCACTAACTGTGTCCCTGTCCGTAATCTATCCTTCCCACTGCCCCAGCCTTTGTTCGGGGCTAAGTACCTGCCAGGTGAGTCTTTTATTAGGTGGGTGTGTTAACTGTTAGGTGAGTGTGTTAACTGTTAGGTGAGTGTGTTACCTGTCAGTTGAGTATGTTAGCTGTTAGGTGGGTGTGTTACGTGCCAGGTGAGTGTGTGGTTAAGTGAGTGTGTTACCTATCAGGTGAGTGTCTCACCCAACAGGTAACTTGGTACCTGTTTCTGTCCTAATGTTCCATTGTGTTAGATTGCTATATCTGTCCTGTGCTCAGTGGAAGGAAGATCAGGCCAACACTACCACTTGTGCTGACACCCCACAATATAACTAACATACACACCCAGCTACAAAACAGTTAACTAGATCTCTTACCACTGATCACTCACAGATTCTAACTTTAAAATGGGACTGAAATGAATTACTCATTTTAAGTCATAATGAACAACTTTAAATGAACGAACAGAAAGATGAATGGGAAGATCAAACCGTGGTCCTGGTCCTTGCCTAATTGTGGTTGCAGGGGTCGAGTCACAGCTTCTGGCCCTGCCTCTTCACTGGTGTGGTAGGTCCAATGCTTTACCACTGCAAATACACTACAGTGTATTTCTCAAAATTTCTCCTATTAAAGACCCTGTAGCTCAGCAGTGGAGCACTAGACCAGCCACTACCAGGGCTATGGTTTGATTCCCGGTCCATCTTTCATTTTAAGGACATATTTAAAGGTCCTGCTGACCTAAATCACCCAAAATTCCCAAAACCAAAAAAGGTTCATATGTCCTAAAGTGATTTTCTTTTTTCTTTTTTTCCATTTCTAGCTGTTAAAATATATTTTTATAATAATTAATTCTGTGTTTATATTACTGACATGTAAGGTAACATGAAAACAGCTTACAACCACAGGATACAGGTACAATCCTGGGGTTGGTGAAGGTGTACACAGATCTTTCCTTACCCATATCACCCCTGTTCCTGTAGATAGATAGATAGATAGATAGCAATAACTGTTGCATGTTTATCTATTCATAGTTGAACACATTTTGTTGTTTCCTGGGTACAACGTCATCAGAGGACATCAATGTGTGGATGTTCGCTATGGTGGGCGTAGGCAGCGCCTTCGTAATCTTTGTGGTGATCTCCATGTGTCTCCTGTGGTAAGTGTCCTCCTGTGGTAAGCGTCCTCCCATGGAAAGTGTCCTGTGGTAAGTGTGGAAAATAATGTATTTTCTAGAAAAAATACAGTGTGTTTTTTATGTAAATTAGTGTAGCATACTGTATTTAATAAAAATTTATGTTATAAAAAATGGGAAGCCTGCGCCTGTGCAGAGAAGGAACTTGCCATTGTTTTTTGAATTGAGTAACAAACGTTAGTGAATATTGGGAAGAATTTTCGTGCTCTAGAGGTAAAATTGGGCTGACACCTCTCAAATAGGAGCCGAAATTGTTGGATGTGCATTCCTGCATAACTTGAGATATCAGGCGACTGGACAAGACAGCTCCAGGAACCTCAGATAAGTCTGTTAATGTTTAACCCTGGCCAGTGTTATTTTCATGTATAGACAGTGAGGTTTTCTGAGTAGGATACACTTTAATCTCCAGTCAAATTGGTGAGTGATATTAAGATATATTCTCCTTTCTTTCTTTCTTTCAACACACCAGCCATATCCCACCAAGGCGGGGTGGCCCAAAAAGAAAAACGAAAGTTTCTCTTTTAAATTTAGTAATTTATACGGGAGAAGGAGTTACTAGTCCCTTGCTCCCAGCATTTTAGTCGCCTCTTACAACACGCATGGCTTATGGAGAAAGAATTCTGTTCCACTTCCCCATGGAGATAAGAGGAAATAAACAAGAACAAGAACTAGAAAGAAAATAGAAGAATACCCAGAGGGGTGTGTAATTAAAGCTTGTACAGTATGTATAGTGTGACCTAAGTGTAAGTAGAAGTAGCAAGACATACCTGAAATCTTGCATATTTATGAGACAGACAAAAGACACCAGCAATCCTACCATCATGTAAAACAATTACAGGTTTTCATTGTACGCTCACTTGGCAGGACGGGAGCACCTCCCTGGGCGGTTGCTGTTTACCCAAACCTACTACCTAGGATATATTCTCCTTCTGTTATGTAAATTGTATATATATAATCAATTATTAATTTTAATATACAGTCCACAAATGAAATATGTATCACCAGAATTCCTGGTGATACATTTTTCATTTGTAATTAATAGGTCTAGAGCAACTTGTGGATATGACAGTGGTAGGTATCGAAGGGGGACATTTCTGCGACCTAGGTGTCCAAAATTCCTACTTATCTATGTAACTGATAAATAATAATTATCTTTGTTATCATTTACTGTTATGTACATGAGTTACATTCAGATAAATGTAATTTTCCACGGTAAGTGTCCTGTAGTAACTGTCTTCCTGTGCTGAGTGTCCTCCTGTGGTAAATGTCCTCCCATGGTGTCCTGTGGTAAGTGTCCTGTATAACTGTCCTCCTGTGGTGAGTGTCCTCCTGTGCTGAGTGTCCTCCTGTGGTAAATGTCCTCCCATGGTGTCCTGTGGTAAGTGTCCTGTAGTAACTGTCCTCCTGTGGTGAGTGTCCTCCTGTGCTGAGTGTCCTCCTGTGGTAAATGTCCTCCCATGGTGTCCTGTTGTAAGTGTCCTGTAGTAACTGTCCTTCTGTGGTGAGTGTCCTCCTGTGGTAAGTGTCCTCCTGTAGTAAGCATCCTGTGGTAAGTGTCCTCCTGGGGTAAGTATCCCCCTGTGGTAAGTGTCCTCCTGTGGTAAATATCCACCTGTGATAAGTATCCTCCTGTGGTAAGTGTCCTCCCATGGTAAGCATCCTCCTGTGGTAAGTGTCCTGTAGTAACTGTCCTCCTGTGATGAGTGTCCTCCTGTGGTAAGTGTCCTCCTGTAGTAAGCATCCTGTGGTAAGTGTCCTCCTGGCATAGCATCCCCCTGTGGTAAGTGTCCTCCTGTGGTAAATATCCACCTGTGATAAGTATCCTCCTGTGGTAAGTGTCCTCCCATGGTAAGTGTCCTGTAGTAACTGTCCTCCTGTGGTAAGTGTCCTGTAGTAACTATCCTCCTGTGGTGAGTGTCCTCCTGTGGTAAGTATCCTGCTGGGGAAAGTGTCCGCCTGTGGTAAATGTCCTGTAGTAAGTGTTCTCCTGTGGTAAATGTCCTGTAGTAAGTGTCCTCCTGTGGTAAATGTCCTGTAGTAAGTGTCTTCCTGTGGTAAACATTCTGTGGTAAGTGTTCTCCTATGGTAAGTGTCCTCCTATGGTGAGCATCCTCTTGTGGTAAGTGTCCTTTGGTAAGTGTCTTCCTGTGGTAAATATCCTGTAGTAAGTGTCCTCCTGTGGTGAGTGCCCTCCTGTGGTAAGTGTCCTATGGTAAACATCCTGTGGTAAGTGTCCTGTGGTAAGTGTCTTTTTGTGGTAAACATCCTGTGGTAAGTGTCCTGTGGTAAGTGTCTTCCTATCTTAAGCATCCTGTGGTAAGTATCCTCCTGTGGTAAGTGTCCTACTGTAGTATGTGTCCTGGAGTATACCTAGAGAGGGTTTCAGGGGTCAACACTCCCACAGCCCGGTCTGTGACCAGGCCCTCATGGTGGATCAGGACCTGATCAACCAGGCTGTTACTGTTGGCGCATGCAACCTGACGTATGAACCATAGTCCTGCTGGCCAGGTACTAACTTTAGGTGCCTGTCCAGCCCCTTCTTGAAAACAACCAGGGGTCTATTGGTAATCCCCCTTATGTATGCTGGGAGGCAGTTGAACAGTCTTGGACCCTTGACACTTATTGTGTTGTCTCTTATTGTGCTAGTGGCACCCCTGCTTTTCATTGGGGGAATGTTGCATCATCTGCCGAGTCTTTTGCTTTTATAGGGAGTCCTGTGGTAAGTGTCCTGTGGTAAGTGTCCTGTGGTAAGTGTCCTGTGGTAAGTGTCCTGTGGTAAGTGTCCTTCTGTAGTAAGTATCCTGTTGTAAGTGTTCTCCTGTGGTAAATGAAAAACCATACATAGACCAGGCCATGGAAGGGGGGGCACTGACCCCCGGAACTCCCTGCAGGTGTGAGATGACCCCTGTGACAACGTTTTGGTCCACATGGACCACTGTTACATCCCGCATAGTGGTACAGGATGGGGCAAAATGTCTTCATAAGGGCCAGAGGCACACATTGCCTGGTAGTAAGATGTTCCTTCCATATGTATTTAAATATATCTCTATAAAGAGTCTGTTGCAATATATCTTTATGAAAAGTCTATTTAAATATATCTTTGTAGTCTGTTAAAATATATATTTCCAAGATATGGTACTATATACCCCAAATGGCACTCCTTACACTATACCATACTCTAATATACCCTTACCTCACCTATGGTATTATTGCTTGGGGAGTGACTATGGAGGGGTGTTAATGTTGCAGTTTAAAAACTGTAGTGTAAAGCACCCTTCTGGCAAGACAGTGATGGAGTGAATGATGGTGAAAGTTTTTCTTTTTCGGGCCACCCTGCCTTGGTGGGAATCGGCCGGTGTGATAATAAAAAATAAAATAATAAGCCATTAAAAGCCTTTGGGTTATTAATGGTTTTAATAACCCAATGTAACTACCATGTTGGGTTATTAGACCATTGATAACCCAATGAAAAACCGCTGTGTGGATGATGACCAATTCCTGTGCCAGACAACACACCCCTTCACTCTTCAAAAGGTTGTATGTACTTAATGTACAAAATATACACTCATATTACTGTGCCTGCTACTTAGGTGAGTGAGCTGGCTCAATCGCTAGCGCACTCAGCTCACACACTGAGGTCTGGGGTTCGCATCTCCGGTACGGCTGGATAACATTAGGATGTGTTTCCATAAGACGCCTGCTGTCCATGTTCACCCATCAGTATACCTGGAGTTTACCTGGAGAGAGTTCCGGGGGTCAACGCCTCCGCGGCCCGGTCTGTGACCAGGCCTCCTGGTGGATCAGAGCCTGATCAACTAGGCTGTTACTGCTGGCTGCATGCAAACCAACGTACGAGCCACAGCCACAGCCGCATCCTGGGACAAAATTGACCTAATTTGCCTGAAATGCTCTGCATAACAAGCAGCTTTCTATACAGTAGTGTGTCATAGATATCAGCTAGGCCTATATACCTTGTATATACAGCTGTAGAAATAAAGATATTATTATTTTATGCCTGAAGAGGATTTTGGAGATCAGTATCCCCATGGCCCAGTCTGTGGCCAGGTATATATACATAGAACATTAAACTCAAATATATACCCTCCTCTCAAACTACTACGTACTTAATAACTACAACAGAATACACAGGCACAACACAGGGCACAAAACTCTCTTTGACATCCCTCATGTCCATCTCACCCTACACTAAAATGCAATGCACATAAAGGGCCCCAAGATCTGGAATTCGCTGCCTGAACCAGCAACAGTTCCCTTGCCTGCCAATCAATTCAGGACTATACTTAAAAATCATCCCATTTCCCAAAATAAACTATACCTGGAGTATACCTGGAGAGGGTTTCAGAGGCCAACACCCCTGCGGCCCGGTTGTACCGGCACTGTACTAAATCATTCAACCAGTTTGAAATGAAAGTTAAGACACTTGTGCAACATCTGGTTATCTTTATTGTAGATGTTTTGCCACCCAGTGGCGAAACATCTACATGATTATATACACCTGGAAAATCCTAGAGGGACTAGTACCGAACTTGCACACGAAAATCACTCACTACGAAAGCAAAAGACTTGGCAGACGATGCAACATCCCCCCAATGAAAAGCAGGGGTATCACTAGCACGTTAAGAGACCATACAATAAGTGTCAGGGGCCCGAGACTGTTCAACTGCCTCCCAGCATACATAAGGGGGATTACCAACAGACCCCTGGCAGTCTTCAAGCTGGCACTGGACAAGCACCTAAAGTCAGTTCCTGACCAGCCGGGCTGTGGCTCGTACATTGGTTTGCGTGCAGCCAGCAGCAACAGCCTGGTTGATCAGGCTCTGATCCACCAGGAGGCCTGGTCACAGACCGGGCCGCGGGGGCGTTGACCCCCGGAACTCTCTCCAGGTAAACTCCAGGTAATAAAGATAACCAGATGTTGCACAAGTGTCTTAACTTTCATCTTGTCGGTATTGTATACCTGTCTTGTACAGTTTGAAATGACTCGAAAATTCCCTCAAAATTTAGGACCACACGATTAAACTAAAACATTAATATATGCTTAAAATTATACTGTTGTATCGTTGTCATTTTAATATTGTTATTTGTTTTATGTTACTTTACTATTATAAATCTTATTAATTATAAAATTTTTGACTACTTCACTTTAGTAGTAAGGTAGAATTATAAATTACTAAAAATTACTACTCTATAAGCTATGTCTAGCTTTAAGTAGTGTGTAAGCATTAGTACAGCTACTCCTCACTTAACAACCTACTTGTTTAACGACCGCTCAGATTTACAACCAGTTCTCCAACCGGTATGAAAACCCAAGTACAGCCTCTCCTCACTTAAATAAGGAGTTCTGTTCCTAAGACCACATCGGTAAATGAAGTCGTCGCTAAGTGAGGAGCATACTATAATGGTAGTGGGTTTGTGTAAACCATCTTTGATAATGTTTTAATGTCATATTTGCACCATTTACAACATTTATGGTATATTTTTAAATGTTTATACAGCTGTGTAATGTATATTGTAATAAAAAGATTAGAGGAAATCAGTTCTAATATACATTATTTAGGTATGCATACTGGTCAGAGAACCTGTCGTAAGTCCGACTTCCGATTAATGTTATTGTCTAATGAATTAACAGTGGTGAATGAGGGGTTCAAAGAGTGATCTGTAAATTGAAAGTCCAATGGTCTACCATCTAATGCATGATAATATCTGGTTTCTCCTCAGTCAAAGTCCAAGAGAGCACACAACAACACCATTGACATTGAGAAGACAGAAGAATCTCCGTCACCGCCCTGTGTGAGGTGGAAGTTCCATCACTGCCCTGTGTGAGGTGGAAGTTCCGTGACCACCCTGTGTAAGGTGGAAGTTCCGTCACCGCCCTGTGAGAGGCAGAATTACTACTGTCAGTGTACTATGTAACACAGAAGGACTTCCATCACTGTCATGTGGGAGGCAGGGCTACTACTGCTGGCACTTCGTGACCCACAGGACTTCTGTCACTGCCATGTAAGAGGCGGAACTACTGCTGTCAGCACTCCATGTAACACAGAAGGACTTCCATCACTGCCATCTTAGAGACAGTACACCACCATCATCATTAATCTGGGTTTCCTCGTCTTCCGAGACTTTTCATAAAACAAATGGTCGAAGTATCGTTCCCGGACCATCAGGTTGGCATCAGTCTGGGATGACACAAGTGTTGACAGTCAGTCTAGGATGACACAACAGTGTAGACAGTCAGTCTAGGTTGACGCAACAGTGTCGAAGATATATATTAATCCTCTGGACTATTCAACGTGTGCTAAAATATTACTCCGGACCCGCATAAAATGTCACTCAGCTGGTCCACTCAACTCACAAGTGTTGTGTTTTGCTGTAAATCTGAAGCTAAAGTGTTTTTACATAGGTTTAAAGTGTTGCATCTTTGGTCCAGAAGCTATAGCTTTGCCTACTAGTGTGTTTGCTGGTCAGTGACACAAAAAACAGCTATGCAGTGTGGTGTTGTGGCCAGACTTTGTTTACTCTAGACATGTGTTCAACCCGCTTCTAGAAGATGCTCATCTTGAGGTGAACTCTTATTGCTTCTTAGAAAAATGACAGAAGAGACGTAAAGAGTTGATTAAATATTCATAATTACCCCTGCCATTCCCTGTTGTGTGTTATTTCGGGGTAATCAGCAAGTAACACTGTGAGTTTTCATTTGATCAAAGACATTTGGTGTTGCATCAATAAGTTGGGACCTTGAGACACCTTTGGCCAGAGACATTTGGATGAAATCATGGCTTGATTCAAGGAAATGCCCAGTTTTCAAGAACACCTCTAATTTCTAGATCAAGGGCTCTTCAGAGGCACCAAGGCACCTTCCTTGAAGATCCCTGTATCTCCAAAAAGCAGGGAACAAAGGATGAATGAAGCACTGCAGGACACCTTGGATGACAGGCCTTGGGTGTTGCTTGCATCATCAATAACACGGCACCTTGAAACACTCTTCCTTCAATGACAATAACTCATTTATCTTCAAAATGTGAGCCCAAGTTTGTTAAACACCCAAAATTTTCTTTATATCTTTAATAGTGAGCTGGATAGCGTTCAACCTTTCTTATCCAGTTTGTATGTTGTTCATTCCACGTACAACTGTTCCATAACATTCCACGTATGACTGTTCCATAACATTCCATGTACAACTGTTCCATAACATTCCATGAACGATTGTTCCATAACTTTCCACCTACGACTGTTCCATAACATTCCATGTACGACTGTTCCATAACATTCCATGTACGACTGTTCCATAACATTCCATGTACGACTGTTCCATAACGTACCAAAATAATATAATATCATTCTCATGACACAGACATAAATGGAATTCACAGAAATACTTTCAAAAATGATTTCTTGATGAGAGTCAATTAAGACAACAATTGAAACTAAATAATTATGGGTCAATTTTCTTACAGAAAAAAACAATTTGGCTATAAAAATAATTTGTTTCAAGGGAAATTATTTGGATTTTTAATATATTTAGGATTATATAAATGGTGTATGATAGCTGTCTCTTGTTCCACGGTGGAGGAGTAGACAGTAGGTGTCACTCTTTCACCTGTTTATGACTTAATTTTTACTGGGACAAATTTTTTTCCCAATGTTTTGCTGTCTCTTCTCTGACAGCCAGACTGTCTAGTTTCCCCTTCTGTCCTGCTATCTCTAATGTCCTCTCCTTCTATCTATCATGTCTTCTTCTATCTATCATGTCTTCTTCTATCTATCATGTCTCCCCCCTACATCATGTCCTCTTCCTCCCCCTCTTCATGTCCTCTCCCAAATTTATTAAAAGTCCTCAAAACCCCCCATCTATCATGTCCTTTCCC